TTTTGATATACTGTGTTTACATTTTCATCCATCTCAATGTTATCTTTTCTAATTTCCTTGTGAATTTTTCTTTAATTATTCATTAAGAAAATGTGGTTTAGTTTCCACATACTATAACTTTAAAAAATTTTTGTGTTAGTCATTTCTAATTTCAATGTATTATGGTCAGAAAACATAACTTGAATGATTTTAATCCTTTCACATTTATTATGCCGTGTTTTGTATCTCAAAATATGATTTATCCTGGATAAATGCTTAACTTTCTCTAGAGAAGAATGTCTGTTCTATTGTTTTACTCTGGATTATTCTATTGAATACTCTTCAGTACTTGTGGGTTAGGACACACGCATGCCTAGTGGCCTTCTTTGCCGCACTTAAAGCAGGTCCCATGAGGAAGACTGCTATGGGGTCTTTTGTGCCCATGACTGCTATTGCCAGGTTGGTGAATAGCTGTGGCTAGTAGCTGGTATTTGGCATGATCTTATTGGGCCTTGTTTATTTTTTCCTGCTCATCCCTATTATTAAAGACTTTGAAAGCCAGGTTGAGAAGGTTTTGTTGTGAAGGAGACCTCTCCTTGTGAGAAGGAGATAGAGGTTTGAGGGACTTCTTTGGCTTTTCTAAGTTTGCACCAGATGTTGGGAGCTGAATGGGAGATAAAATGGGTATTAAGAATTATAGTGCCTTCTGAGGAAGCAGGCTCAACACGTGTATTTTTGGAGAACATCTGTAAGGCAGGAGAGAAATTTAGCAGGATTTTTATCTGACCTCTGGGAAATTTCTCTGAAGTTTTTAAAAAATTTACAGCTTTATGGGCAGATTTGTTAACGCCTGCAATGAGGCAAGTGATCATATGGTTACGGGACACTTGGCCAGGGTCCACGGGTTGGTATTCCCAGGAAGGCTTTTGTTCGGGGACTGCCGCAGCCCCTACTGGCTTAGGAGGATCTTGCTGATGGAGGTCATCAGCGTGTGTCTGGGCCATGAGCCACACTCTTTCATTTTCTTCTGGAAGGAGGATAGGAGAGAGAATGATATAGAGATCATTCTAAGTAAGTTTATACAACTGGGTGAGGTATTTGAACTCTTTGATATAAGTATCAGGATCAGAGGAGAAGGACCTGAGATGCTTTTGGATTTGGGAAAGATCAGTAATAGAGAAAGGAATGTGGACATGGACAATTCCTCCAGCCCCAGCAACCTCCCAGAGGGGAAGTATGGGAGCTGGTTGTTGGGCATGTTGGGTCTGAGAGCGGGTAAGGGGTGGAGACAGGGAGGACTCAGAATTGGAAGCGGGGTGGTTAGAGAGAGAGGATGAGAGGGGCAATGCTGGGGCAGGAGCATGTAGTGGAGGGTCATGATGTTCTGGGGGAGGAATGAGATGAGGCCAGGTAGCTGGGAAGTCTGCGGGGTCAAAGGAGGAGTTGTTGCTTGGTACAGAAGGGGGTTCTGCTGAAAGAAAGTCAGGTTTAGAATGAGAAAGGAGGATTTGGAAAGTGGAGCAGGATTGGCAAAGGGAAGGGCACTTATGGTGGGTGAAGAAAGCCTGAACAGAAGGAATTTAAGACCAGTTTCCATTGTGATGGCAAAAATTTTCTAAGTTCCTGAGTATATTTAAATGAAAAGGTCAATCTGCAAGCCACTGGGAGCCATTGTCTAATTTATATTGTGCCCAAGTCGTATTACAGTAGAAAATAAGCCTCTTGGGAAGAACCTCTGAACGGAGGCCGAGAGTGTTGAGGTTGTGCAAGAGGCACCCCAGAGAGGATAGTTTTAGACAGAGTAGACTGAGAGGTGCCCATACTGAATGAGGAGGGCACAGAAGAAGAGACTGCTGGTGGCAAGGACTGCAGAAGAAGGCGTCCCCAGTCCCAGGGGTCTTGTTTAGTGTACAGAAGGGAACCATAGAGTCTGGCATCCCTGAAATGGACGAGCCAGAGGCCTAGAAGCCAGAGGGAGCCCTTGACCCAGTGCTGGGTCTTTCAGGAAGACAGAGACTGTCAAGGGTCCCTGGAAAATGACAAGAATCTCTCTTACTCACCCCTGTGTAGACCCTAGTGATGAATGAAGTCGCCAACAATGGGAGGGTCTGAGAAATCCTCCGGGTCTTCTGCAGGGTCGGGAAGGGGAGGGTGGCCAGGAGATAGGGAAGGGAACCGAGGCTCTAGCACATCGTAACAAGTGAGCCTGGGAGGAGCAAGAGAGCCAAAGGGAGAGGGAAAGGGAGATAGAGAGCATCCTCTAGGGACACCCAGCCAGAGCCTACCCTTTCCTGGGTTTTGGCACCAAAATGTAAGGTTAGCCGAGAGAAGGAATGAGTAGACTCCCAAAGTCAGGAAAACAAGTTTTTATTAAACTGCCAGGCTGCTCCAGTGTCAACAGAGGAGACAGCCGCGCTTACAGGCTGCCGTGGGGTTTTACAGGGCAAGGGGCTAGGTTGAGGTGGGGGAAACTGAGTAGGGTTGCAGGTGTTGCAACCGTTTCCTGGAAATGTTTTTGCCTGCTCGGCTAAGCAAGGTGGGCAGATGTCTTAACCACATCCTGGAAGTGTTTACCCGTTCTACTGAAACTCTTGCACCAGCGACTGTAGAAAAGGGTGGGGGTGTTTGTCAGTGGTCACAAAGGACTGTATTGAGAAGGTCATGGAGGAGGAGGAGGGGTAGCTTGGATCTCTAACAAGAGCTTCTTCATCTAATATTTACTATTTACTATATTTACTATGCCATTTTCTTATTTGTAAAAGGAAGATTTGCAGAATCATCTAAATACCCATCTGACAGAGATTCCATGATTCATGTATTTCTCAAGACAGCCATACAATAAAATTATAAGATCATAAGAATATTAATTCTATTCTACCTAATGCAATACAAGGTATCCTTTACTCTCTTTCAATAATAGTTAGCTCACTTCAAATTCAACATTCCTAGTGAATCTCTACATGGGGAAACAACCTTCTTTGTAGCTGCTACTTTTAATTCTCAAAGAGAGTCTTTCTGCGGTGTGTAAATATATTTGTTTCACTTCCCCACCATGCTCTTTAATCAAGGGAAAATGTCCTACAGTGGACATGGACTATATCAGACACTCTATTTGGCACACTGTGATAATTCTTGAATTTTCATTTAACATCAGCAAAAATGTTAAAAGGTTATAGTAGTCTTGAAATTATTATTGGCAGGAACATTTTTAATACAGTTACATTGAATTCTTTAAATAATTTCAACAACCCCACAATCAGTAGAATTTTATACATTATTTTTCAATTTTTTCTCAAAAAATTTACAAGTCATACTTTTCTTCACTCCTCCCCACAAAATGTATATCAACAGGAAATAATGCGTTTATGGAGCAATATCATATTTGATGACATTAGTTGTCCTGGGCTGCAATACTAAATGCTGAATAATAAAATCTCTCTGAATTTTTATAACTAGAGAAGCCTCTGTGATACTCTTAGAATATATTAAATACAAGATGCTAATGGATGAAAAACAAATACATAAAACTGCATTAAAATATTTTATATAATTAAATTTTGAATAAAGAGTTGGATTAATGAAGTTAGATGAGGCAAATAACATGAAATATTTACCAGTGTAGAAAACTATGCTTCTCTAGACAAAGATCTGCACAGTTATGTATACAGGAATACTAAATATTGAGCTATCCTAGTTTATACATACAGAAAGGTAGAAGGATGACCATTGGATATGAACTTACAAGATATTAATTATGTCGATTTTCTGGAGTGTATCAGTTGCTATTGCTTCATAATAAATTAGTACAAATATTGCTGCTTAAAACATAATAACTTCAGGTCACCAGTGACTCACAACAGTTTTATCTGAGTCTCACATGCCTCTCCTGAAGGTTGTCAATACGATAAGCAAAGAGCTATAAGCATCAAACACGAGGAAGAGTGGCCTACATATTCAACCTCAGGAAAAGAATATTCTTGAGCACACTAATCTCAGAGAGTTGGTGTCAGGTCTTTCTATTTGTCAATTATCACACATACAGATAACATACTTTTATCATTTTGAACTACAACAGTGTTGCACAGGGCAACATCTCATGCTCAAATGTATTGTGCTTTAGGCATGCTTTGACTGCTGTCATGTTTGACAATTAGGCTGATAGAGTCCTTCAGGAAAGAGATGCTGAAATGAGATTAAGAATGCTAGCACTAAAAGATGTGCTAAAGTTATAAAAGACAGAAGGAAGGGACAAAAACAAAATTGGGCAGCAAATGCCTTTACATGTTGAAACTGTACCTGCAATCTGCTCTAGCAAATGCACCATCTTCTGATAGCATCTGCTGTATTGTATACTATGTTGTTGACCTTGTAGTAGCATTTGAGTCATTTTTCAGGTTACATTTTCTTCAGTGTCCAGAATGGTGGATAAAGTGAAGATAAAATAGGCACTGCCATTTTTGAGTTTGTAAGATGCCTGAGTATTGCACTAATCTTCACCACTCAGCCCACGTAGCAGTATTATTTGTGATTTACTAGACTGGTTATTGATGGAGATAGGAATGTTAGTTTCAGAGCCCTCCACTTTATCTTTTCTATTACAATAGCTTTTACTCTATAGTCTAAGAGCAAATGTAAGAAGTACTACAATTGCCAAGTGTCTCTCTCAATTATACACTTGGAAACCCAAAAGACCTGCTGTAATGATAACTTTACCCATGACCCCATCCATTATTGGGCTTCTGTGTAATATCTTTCTAATGGAAATATGTAGGGATTATAGTACTTTTGGTCTTCAGAATCATCTGCCTATGTGCCCCTAGCCCATGTGTGAAAGATTCAGATTTCCCAACAAGGGCACTGAGCTTGTTATAACAGACTTACTTGGGCTAAAGGCTGAATTGTGTTTGAAGCTCAGGAACTCCAACTAGTAAATCCTGGGCTTGATCTTTTGAATTATTTTCTCTCTCATTACAGGAGATAAGGTGTTTTGCAAGCTACCAAAGACACATTTTGTACTTTATACTTAGTCACCAATTATTCCCTTTGCAAGCTACCAAAAAGATGTTTTACACTTCGTATTTAGTCACCAATGTCAGAACTGTTCCTAGCCTGACATTGTCACTATATAGGACACTGAGAAATAAATTTAATAACAACCAACCAGTTTAATTTTCCTTGTACATATTATCTGTCACTCTCTACTTTTTGCGTTACTAAATAATTATGACAACTTGGGTATTTCTCTCCACTGGAATATTACCATACACCCTAGGGTTAAATTTCAGAAATTGGACCACAGTTTTGTACTATGGACTATCCATGCCCTACATACCTTACAGGATTAAATCATCATTAACAGTCAGGTAGTGAGAGATCTAGTCCCAAATCCACATTTTTTAGCTGCATACTTGAATCACACCTGATATCAGGTGTATTAATTTGGCTATCTGGAAAGTAGAATATCTGAGAGTTACAAATGTCAGCATTTTATTGTGCAAGACAAAAGGAAAAGGAATGAGTTAGTTAGGAAAGTCTTCGGACTGTAATATCTATTTGAAACCTAAAAGGAAAATTGGGCAAGGAGATCCACCAATTGTGAAACAAATTTGACTCTTCATAAACTAAGTGGGGCATTCCAGAATACAGATGGCCCTTTTAAAAAGCCCCACATTCAGCAGATATAGTCAAGCACTGGAAACTTCTGCCTGATTTACAATTATCTCTTGTTATTTTGCGATCTTAAAATTATTAGCTGTATTGGGTAAGATCCTTAATTCATGTGAATTTTATTTCACATTCCAGTGCATTGTGTTACCTCAATATGCAATTTCTGAATCTTCAAACTGTTCAATTATTATCCTTTAAACCCAATAAAATATTTTAAAGAAGTGTCCAAACAGTGCATCACCACAATATCTAGTTTATTTTTATTACTCCACAGTATCTGATATTATGATTGCAGGACAGCTTATAGAGGTGGCAGAGACTTGGAGTCTTTAATCTCTTTTATTACTTTCTTATATATACTATATACTATTTGACTAATATCTTCATGTCATATGAATTTTGGACTTTAAGTATTTCTGACTTCTAATTGAGAAAGTCCTCAAACTTCAGTTTTTAAAATTGTCATGGATATTCTTGATATTTTCTATTTCACTCTAAATTTTAAAATCAGCTTGTCAATTTCTACACATAAAAAATCTGGTATTTTGAGAGATATTCTGAATCTATAATTCAATTTGAAGTGAATTAATAAGTAATTATTGCAAGTATTAAATTTTTCAAAAGTTCTGTTACTATTTTAGTGTAGATATTTTATCCATTTTTCATGAGATATATTGCTGGTATTTTTTTTCTCATCCTTCTAAATTACACATATATAACACCTATATATCATTGTTAGTATTGATTTTTAAAAGTGATTTTTAATATTAACTTTGTGTCTATCGAATTTGATTAATTCACTTCTTTATTCATTATTAATAGTTTGGTGAATTTTACATTTATACAACTATATTATCTGCAAACTATGAGAGCTGTAATTTTCTTTCTAAGCTTTATAACTTTTCTTTATATTTATGTCTTATTTCACAATATAAGACCTCCAATAAATGGTTGAAAACTGTATATTGAATAATGTAATGTTTATCTATAATCTTATGAATATTAATCCTTATGCTGTTTAGGGGCAAGTAGTACTTTTGCCATTTAACAGATGAGAAAATGAAGCTCAGTGAACTTCTCTCACTTTCTCAAAGTCAAATTGTTCCTATGTGAGCAAACTAGCATGAGAAATTCAGTTAACTTGTAATGCTAGGAATTTGCTTTTTTCTACCTTTATCATACCATCCAATTTCAGATTCAATTAGATGTGCATTTCCTTCTGAAGTCCTTAGTGTGTGTTTTATTTTAATGTTCTGATTGTGTATCCCCTGTACTAAGCATGTATGAAAAAATCAATTTCTCCTGCAAAGGACTACAACTAGAGACCAGGTATATGAAGATTCATTTCCTAGTTTATATGTGCTCAGGACTTGTGTAAAAAATACTCCATATTATGTATCAAAATTACATTAGTGAAATCTTATGGAGTATTGTTAACACTTTTCTCTGGTGGGTCTGTACTTATGGTATTAACAACTATTCTTCACAAGATTAGATATTGCATACTAAGTTAAAAGTATTTAAGTGGCCTAAATATCCTTTTCAGTCCTCTATTTCAATGTTTCTATGTCTAACCCTAGAAAAGTTAAATGCTAAATGTCAAGTAGCCAATCTAATTTTTACTATATATAAAACGAATAATAAAATGTAATTTTAAATGATATTTCTGTACTTCCATATGATCCGTCTGAGCATATTTTTAACTACCTGCATAAGCCCAGTTAAGCCATTTTTGATCCTTTATATGGAAAATGATTATAGAGTCCATTTGATGTTATTAAATTGCATGAAAAAAATCTACATTTCTCTAGTTGATGAATCTCACCCTTGAGTTTCATTTTATTAAACTATAATTATTAGATCCTTTAATATTCATACAGGAAGAGCTTGTATCAGATTTTGAGCTCAAAACTAAGCAGTAAGGAGATAAAGTGTAATGGGACAGGAGAATTAAAATAGCTATAGGAGTCCCTTTTCCAAAATGTCAATCCATTTAATATCCAAAACTATAGGCATAAAATTATGTTTTAACATAGATGCTATACCATGTGTTAAAGATAAAAAAAATCAATGTTATTTGTTAAAATACAGTAAGGCAGACTTTATTCAGGACCACTGCTATACTTTTGGAGGTCATGGCAATGGCATTCTGTAGCGAGGGAAAAAGATATGACTCAATTCTAAATATAGTATGGAAAAGTGGGAATTTATATCCCTGCAGCAGGATGAGGGTCAGTGGATAAAAAATAACTAAGGGGTAACTTAACAGTAAGGGGAATTCAGGCTAAACCTATCTAACAGGATTCTTGCTGAAGAGACACCAAGGTTACTACACATTACCTAGGGATGGTGGAGGATGGAAATCCTCGGAAATAACAAAGGTGATAAGATATTGAGGGTGGGACGTTCTTACTGAACTGATTTATCAGGGCTTCTGCTAAAACTGCATTTTTACAAGCAAGTATACAGATGATCCTAGAAAGTTCAGGAGCCTGAATAAAATTTGCTCAAGCAATCATCTTTGTTACATGTATATTAACATAGACTTTCTGAAACATCTGGTTCTCAATTTTTAAACTGTCTATCCCATCTATTCTATATAATAAAATATGCCTTAAAATATGTAATTCCTTTTTTTAGCATGTGAAATGGATGGCATCTTATCCTGCTTCATGTGATTCCTCATTTAGATCTGGACTCTTTACATCATTAAGGTATCCTGAATATATTCAGTATGGTAAGGAATATTTTAATCATTGTACACAAATAAGTCAAAGTCAATTGCTGTATTAGTTCATTCTTGCATTGCTATAAAAAACTACTTGAGACTGGGCAATTTATAAAGAAAAATAGTCTAATTGACTCACAGTTCTGCAAGTTGTAAAGGAAGCATGGCAGAAGAGGCCTCAGGAAACTTATAATTATGGCAGAAGGTGAAGAGGAAGCTGGCACATCTTTATGGCCAGAGAAGAAGGAAAAGAGAGAGGGGGAGGTGCCACACATTTTTAAACAACCAGGTATCATAAGAACTCACTCACTATCATGAGAACATCAGGGGCGATCCACCGTCATGATCCAATCACCTCCCACAAGCCCGTCCTCCAACATTGAGGATTACAGTTCAACATGAGATTTGGGTGGGGACACAAATCCAAACCATATAAATTGCATATTAGAGTTTTAAGAAGAAATGTATCCCAATCCTTCTGTAACTGTCAACAGTTCATAGTCAGAAAAATAAAACAAAACTAGAGAGAATATAGAGAAATTTAAAGATTGAAAAGTGAAATACTCTCACCTACTCATCAAAACAAGTATTAGTTCACGTGAAGTGAATGTGATGTAGCCCATGTTTTTCTGTATACTGAAGATATAGGAACGACAAAGAAATTAGAGTTCTGGCCTAAAGGAGTTTGTGTATTTTTAAAGGATACAGATATTAATCATTTATACAGAAACACATAAGATAATTTCTTGTTCTGAGTGCTAAGAAAAAGAGTCTAAGGAGGCATTTGACTGAGAGTGGCTAATGAGAGATTTCTCCTTTAGCTAGTGCTGTCAGGAAGATAAAACCCTAATGATAAAAAAAAAAAAAAAAAAAAAGTCTTCTAGAATAATGTTTCAAGCTTAAGGAACCCTACAGCAAAGGGCCCTAGTTAAAAATGGACCTGAAATGCTGGAGGGTTATAAACACTGCAGTATTGTTAATGTGGTCTTTCACCGTACTTTCACCCTGTAGTTGTAATGGTTTCCAGGTTATGGCCCTGGTAGAGGATCGTGACTGCAAGTTGTCCAGCTTCTTGGTGTTCTCAACAAAGAGTTAGACAAATCTCCAGCAAAGCAAAGAAAGAATGAAGCAACAAAGAACAAAAGTGGGAATTTATTGAAAACAAAAGCACACTGCGCAGTGTGGGAGTGGACCTCAGCAGTGGCTCAAAGGCCCAGAACGGAAACTTCTTGGGTCTAAACATTCCCTACAGGTCTCCCATTGGCCACTTCATACTCACCTTCATGTAAATGAAGTTGCAGCCCACACTCAGTCTGACTGGTTACAGAAAGCAGCCAATCAGAAGCTGAAGTTACAAACGTCAAACTCCTGGGCAAATATCTGATTGGTTGCAAAAAGCAACCAATCAGGGGCTAGGGTGAAGTTACAAATTATACTTCTATGCAAATGAAGACTCCACCCACAATCAGTCTGATTGGTTGTGGCCAGTAACCATTCAGAGGCAGGAGCGAAATTACAAAGTTGCAAACAAAGACAGGACCGGCAATCAGTCTTATTCGTTGCAGACAGCCAGTTTTCCATTTGCCACACAGAAAAGGTCAAAGAGAGTAGCCTCTGTTCCTTTTGTTAGATGTGTAAAGTTAGGAGTTTCCTTTCAATTTAGTTCTAGAAAGTCAGTGTGAAACAGCCTTAGGTTCCCTGCCTCCAGACCCTATCCTCCTGGCTCAGTAACATTCATCCATAAAAAATGAGTTTTAAAATCTCAAACTAAACTTACTTATAGCCAAGAGGTAAACAAAATGACATCCTGTGAAAGCTCCCTTATTTTGGAAAGCCCTATAACAATATATTTGAATACTCAGGACTTGATATAAAACCCATTAGCGAAAGAATAGAGAAAATGTATTCTTTTATGAAGTTCTCATGTTTAAAGAAGAACATTTTGCCATTCTTGCTGGTAAGCATATACAGAATTTAAGAAAGGAAAAGAATCTAATGTAATGATCGCCATCTATGCAAAACCACATTTCTTTTGGGGCCAATTTTGTCTGCTTCTCACAACAGTCCCATATAATCAATATTTTTTTTTTGCCCGTTTATAGCCAGAAAACTGTTTTACAAAGGGGAAATGGCCAAGTTAATAGGTAGAAGGGGTGATCACGTGGAGATACAGATCTAACCCCATCCAAACTCAAAGTGTGTGATCTCTATTTTTTTCTTTATTGTCTCAAAAGAAGGAGAATGTGGATGGAGACAAGGCTCTCAACCCATTAGCCTAATGTTGTTCTCTGGTCAATTTATATTGATGAATTTTTGCTTTTATACTTTTGTGACGGGCTCCTTTTTCAGGCTTTTTCTTTGCAGGAATTTAAAAGCAACCCTATGAATATAACATTTGTCAAAAAGAGCAAGTGCCGAGCCAGTTGAGAATAACCTTACAACGTGTACAAGGATTCCAGAAAAAACATTTTCATCCCTCTGAACAAAAGTGTCTGACTTTTGAAAAATACTAATTTCTAAACAGTAAGAGATTCTTATATTTTGTGTACATGGAGCTTTTAAATTCATAGCAAATGTAAAGTTTAAAATTATTTGAAAGTGACAAAACAAAATAAAAATATACCCTTCATTTTAATCCGGTTTCAGAGAAGTTCAGTGTCTCAACCATATCTTTACTAAAGAGGCAGACATGCTAATCTAAATATTTTATAAACATTAATGGCTTGAATATAGCTCAAGAATGCCAAATAAGTGTTTTATAAACTCAACAGATAAACAAACAAAACTGAATAAACAGCTATAGTGATATTATAAATTATATCGGTTCATACTAATGCCAAACACTGGAATTTGAAATTGCTAATTAAAGACATTAGTGAATGTCAATACAGCAATATTTTAATGACTCCAAGATAATCCCAAAGCAATCAATTTAGATCAGAATGAGTTTATTGTAAAGTGCCAAAGGTGGAAAAAATGCTTCCTTTGCACGATAAAACAACAATTTCTCAAATGAATAATGCCTAGTCAAAATTTAACTAGATAATTACTTCATTTGCATTTATTAAGGAAATATAACAACTTGGAAGAAAGCTCTTTGGGAAATGATCTCGGAGTTTAGCGTCATCTAATTTTACCTTAACTTCTGAATACACAGAACACATTAATGATGATAACAAACAACAGCAGCAGAGAAGAACAACAAATATCCTCCAAGCTATAAAAAGCTTTTTTAGGGAATTTTTTTTTTTCTTTTTAAGTGCCTAGTATCATTTTATTTATATGGACAAATGTAGATGGTGACATGTTTCAGCACATCCAATATTGAGTCAGTAAGTAAAAATAATCATTCATAAGTTTTACTCTTTAGATAAATGGGTAATGATGTAATTGTTTGGGTTCATTGCCGCATATAGTGCTGTGTTGTAGCTGTATTACAATCATTGGCACTAAAGTAGAGGTACTGGAACTCTTTAGCCAAAACCAAACTACTGCACATTTTCCCTTCTGCTCCTCACACCATGCTTTTACAAACTTAATTTAAATGATGTGAAGCCAACATAGTTTTCCACTTTGGTACAGGCATCACAATCCACACAACTTTTACTTAAGCCAATTCAGAGTTTATAACATTAAATTCTCTTACAGGCAGGTGTGGCCTTTTTATTTATCTTTAACCAAACAAGACACAGTCATGCTTCCCTTAGTGACAGGAATACATTCTGAGAAATGTCATTAGGTGATTTTTGTCACTGTGCAAACATCACAGAATGTACTTATACCAACCTAAATGGTATAGCCAACTACATACCTAGGCTATATGGTATAACCTATGGCTCCTAAGCTACAAACCTGTATAGAATGTTACTTTACAGAAGTCACCTCCTAGGTCTTGCCGAAGAGGCAAGCTGATGATAGACATCCATCTATATTTTATAGATATCTATCTTATATTGTTAAGAAAGGGGTCGAGGGGATCAGCCAAGGTCCGTCATTGTTTTTTTGCCCCTCCACCGCCCCCATAGATTGTCAGCTGTAAGTGAAACTCCTAGTGAAAAAGAGGGGAGCCCTGTATTAGGAGTCCCCATAAACATGTACTGCAATTATTTGTATATAGAAAAAAATTTACTGTAAAGTTTAACTTTACTCAGAATACTGTATGCAATCGTAATACAATGGTAAATATTTGTGTGTCTAAACATATCTACATCTAGAAAAACACAGTACAAATATGGTGTAAGTAGTCACATGAGACCACCATCATGTGTACATTCCCTCATTGACCAAAATATGGTTATGTGCCACATGACTGTAATCTAATTGTTGTGTTTGGAATCTTAAACTAGTCATCTTTATTTCTTTCATATGTATATTAAATATATATTATGTTATATATTGTTAGCTATCTTATATTTTATAAATTGCATGCTCCATAATATAAACTATTATATAATTACTTTATATATTTATATGTTACATATATTTATCTATTAATTAATACAAATATAAGTTACATAATAATTTAAATTATGGTAAGAAAATATATAAAATATATCAGAGTTCTTTAATATCCATTCTCATTTAATTTTAGTTGTATTGCATAATTTATACATATCTTATGTCAGTGTTCTTAACATCAAATTTACATTTTAGTAATAAAGTTGCCTGTATAAAAGTAAGGCAGGCTGGGCACAGTGGCTAATGCCTGTAATCCCAGCACTTTGGGAGGCCGAGGTGGGCGGATCACCTGAGATCGGGAGTTCGAGACCAGCCTGACCAACATGGAGAAACCTCATCTCTACTAAAAATACAAAATTAGCCAGGCGTGTTGGCACATGCCTGTAGTCCCAGCTACGAGGGAGGCTGAGGCAGGAGAATCGCTTGAACCTAGGAGGTGGAGGTTGCGGTGAGCTGAGATCATGCCATTGCACTCCAGCCTGGGCAACAACAGTGAAACTTCGTCTCAAAAAAAAAAAAAAAGAAAGAAAAATCAATGAATCCAGG